AAAATGGTGCAAAGACAAAGGAGATGAAATTAAAAATGCGTCAGTTGGCCCCGTTGTATTGTTATGGGGGTTTTATGCATAAAAACAATTAAGCTACATTTATTGTGTCTTAAGGTTAAATTCTTTGAAATTCTAATTAGCTGACTGGTAAGTTCTGCACATGGTTTATTTATTGACAGGTAGATTCCTGGGTCAGGTCAAATTAAGTTGCCCTTAAAAAAGTATTACAATTTGCTATTATAAACCAATCCAAGAGAAAGATTGATGATTGTCCCTTTTTTTTCTGAAACAATCATCTTCAATTATCAAATTCAGAGAGAAAGAGAGAGAAATGGGGTTTAACGTCCACTCGGCACAAACTAGGTCATTTCGGGACTAACATATGGTTTAATTTTATTTACATAATTGGCTTGTGCGTAGGGGTCTTTAGCAGTGGGAGGAAACCAGAGGACCCGGAGAAAACCCACGAGGTTGGACAGGCGACCCTACTCCTTGCCACGTACAACCGGGGATTCAAAATCACGCCAGTCGACTCAATGACAGACTTTATGATACAGCACGCGCATGCTAACCATTCAGCCATCCAACCCCCCTATCAAATTCAGTGACTCTGAAAACTTAATAGAGGACATATTACAAGCCATATCAAAACAGAAAATTGACGATTATCTTAAAAATTGATCAATTTAGAGAAAATCTGGCCGCCATTTTTTTAATTTCCGCCATCTTGGATTTTGGAAACTCTATTTTAGATTGATTTTAAGTTCAATGACATTGAAAACCCTTTAAATTACGTGTTACAAACCATATCAAAGAGTGAAATGACTTTTATCTGACAAATCGGCCATTTTAGATAAATTTTGGTTGACATTTTGAATTTCCGCCATCTTGGATTTTGAAAACTCTTTTTTTCTTTAGATTAAGGTAGATTCCTGGGTCAGATCAAATTCAGTTGCCCTAAAAAAACTATTACAATTTGCTATTATAAACCAATCCAATAGAAAGATTGGTGATTGTCCCTTTTTTTTCTGAAACAATCATCTACAATTATCAAATTCAGTGACTCTGAAAACTTAATAGAGGACATATTACAAGCCATATCAAACAGAAAATTGACGATTATCTTAAAAATTGACCAATTTAGAGAAAATCTGGCCGCCATTTTTTAATTTCCGCCATCTTGGATTTTGGAAACTCTATTTTAGATTGATTTTAAGTTCAATGACATTCAAAACCCTTTAAATTACGTATTACAAACCATATCAAAGAGTGAAATGACTTTTATCTGACAAATTGGCCATTTTAGATAAATTTTGGTCGACATTTTGAATTTCCGCCATCTTGGATTTTGAAAACTCTTTTTTTCTTTAGATTAATTTTAAGTTCAGTGACAGTGAAAACCCTTTAGATTACATGTTACAAACCAAATCAAACTGTGAAATGACTTTAATCTGACAAATCGGCCATTTTAGGTAAATTTTAGCCGCCATTTTGAATTTCCGCCATCTTGGATTTGGGGAAACTAGTTTTAGAGATTATTTTTCAGTTCAATTACAACAAAAACCTTATATATGATATATTACAAGCCATACCTTGCATGAAAATCACCCATCCTATCTGGAAATTCATTTTACGTCAACTTTTGGCGGCCATTTTGGAAATCAGACAAACCCCAACCGAAAATGACGTCATAGATAAAACAAATTCTAAAAATCGTGTTCAGCTAGCAATTTCGCCTCTGGAAATTGCTGGCCTGAAATGATTTGTAAAAAAAATGTCTTATTGTGACACCCCTAGTATGATCGTATGATCGTATCAGTTTCCATATGTTTTGAAGCAGGGGGTTAAAGGGACAATAACACTCTTGCTGACTTGACAGCTCCAGAAAATAAAAAAAATAGCCTCATTCTAAGTATTAGATGTTTAAGTATCCTACCTGTTGTGTAAATTATCCATTAAATCCTATTTTACTTCTCCAGAGGGTTCAAAAATATTTTTAAATCCAAGTCACATTTGAAAAGCTTTACGTCAGGCTTTTCAAATCATTTAGTTGAATTTTTCCAATTTTTTAAATTAGGTGTGTTAAGATGAAATTTGTATCATCAATTAATTGGAATATTGTAAAATAGTACAATTTGTTGACCAGAATAAAGATTGGGACATATTATTCAGTTACAACAAGAGTGGTATTGAGCCTTTAAAGGCGCTGTTCCAGATGGAGATCACAGATGTTTGACGAATGAAGGTTATAGATGTATACCAATCTGTCAAATACCTGTTGTACATACATCACAAGAGTTGGGATAATCTTCCTAACTTTAGGGGTTTTCCCTTTCTGTTAAGTCTTTAGTTGAGTGGTCTTGTAAATAACAAGATCTTTCTAAGATAGAAATGGGGTTTAACGTCCCCTCGACACTAACTAGTTCATTTCGGGACTAACATATGGTTCCATTTTATCTCCATAATTCGTTTGCGAGTAGGGGTCTTCAGCAGCGGGAGGAAACCGGAAATCCCGGCGAAAAACCACGAAGTTGGACAGGCGAACCTACTCGTTGCCACGTACAAACGGGGAATCGAAATCACGCCACTTGACTCAATGATAGACCTTATGATGCAACGCGCACCCCGGGTCTTTATATGTAGGATAAAGCACGAGGCTGAGGTTATGCTGGGGAAAGAAAGACTGAAGAAAATAACCCGAAAAAAGTTTTTTTTCTGAAGTCTTTCTTCCCCAGCATAACCGAAGTCGAGGACTTGATCTTGCTTATAAACCGTCTATGTTTACATACATGTACGCAAGATGAGAATATCCCAGAATTCCCGTAAGAAAAACCTTATATCATGTTTTCTTATGGGGAAAAAAACCCTACACTGCAAGAATAACCCGGTACAGGTTTAAAGAAAAACTTTCAGAAGAATAACCCCAAATTCCCTTGTATATATATATCCAAAGCCGCCCCGCCTTTCAGACCGCAAGTTATTCCGGGCATAGAATATACCCCAAAGATCAAAGAGATTTACCGTTACAGGTTTATAAAAGCCTATAATATCGTATAGTGGTACATAATGCAGAGACTGAACATAATATGTTTTATCATAAAGTAGTTGAGTTGCCCGGCGTTGAACGGACGAAATATAAATCCGTAGAGTTTATCCCTATTTCTCTAAAATCCATATCAAAGCAATAATCTTTAATTATCATCACTAAATATGGCACCAAATAACAAAGTGCTCTCGTTAATTTATGTTCAAAAGTGTTTATTATTTGATTTCCTGTTGAGAACTAATAAGTTTGTCTTTTGTATGGCTATATGTAGCTAGATGACAATTTCATTGTTAATTTAATGAAGGCAAAATTATCATTTAAGTTAAATCACCCCTTGTCACATTAAATTTGTTTCGAAGACTCGTGTTCGTTTATCAGTGAATGGGCACTTGAGTTGAGCTATAGATAGGATGCCCCGTGCACTCTACAGAAAGTTGGTCTCCACACGGCTAAATGTGCACGCTTCAGTTGCGTGTCTCGAACTGATTTTTTGACAACCCCGCACTCTCTTTGAGTCGATAAATAGCCATGGCACGTGCAATTCTCTACAAATATATCAACTATTACAGCCGTAAAAAAATCTATTGTTGACGATTTTGAATAGCAGTAAGATTTAACTTCTTGGTTATTACAGCAGCTTTAGAAATTACGTTTGTTTTATTTTTTTAAATTGCTTTATCATTAACTGTACCGTTAAGAGCGGCATCTTTTGGTTTAGTACAAATAATATCTCTGAATCACTTTCGTTAGCAGGAACATGATACTAGCAGTAGTTTCATTTTACTTTTACAAGTTTCTTAAAACAATTGTTGAGTTATCTAAAGTGCTTATTTCTAAATTCAATTTCTTGTTCTAGCTTTCTGTTATGTTTCGTAAAAAAAGTAGTCTTGATTATCCCGACCTGTCAATCAGACGTAGAATGGTCGATAGACTGGTTAAGCGAGACTAATTTCAAAACAAGGGCACGTAACCTATCTTTTACTCAAAAGTGTCTGGATGTTATGGACGACATTTGGAACCAGTTTTCAGTCTATTATTTATAGATGATTAAAGGTCATAGCTAATTAAGTACAACATGATCGTTTATTTAGTGACTATAATTGTGTGAAACTGATTTGAGGCTTGGCATATATATATAAATATTGTGGCGTAATTGTCGAGATATTTGGAGATATTTATTTATGGTGGGTCACCCTACTATAGAATGTCCACATATAGTACTTGATCTGTGCACAGAAATTTGATGAGTATTGTTCATTGACCCTTTGACCCCGTGGACTTTAGATTTGGATATTCATTCATTGTGTAGATGTATTGTCAGTTCGCATTGACCACATAGCAAACAACGATAAGGTATGCACAACTGTAGATAAGTTCGTATTCACGATGAAAACACGCCGATAGCAGCACATCCGTGGTCATTTCAACATTTTTGGGAATGAAATGGGATTCAATGTCTTGCTTTTCTGCATCAAACGGCTTAATGGAAACTGGCCTACAGAGGCCTTGATGGGCAGTTTGTCCGGACAGTGGCGTTTCCGAACACTCTTCATCGAATACCAAATGTCAGGGGTTCTTTTGGGTGCACTTCAACTTTTGGGTGCATTTAGTAAACTGGCGTGGTTTCGAATCCCCGGTTGTACGTGACAAGGAGTAGGGTCGCCTGTCCAACCTCGTGGGTTTTGTCCTGGTCCCCCGGTTTCCTCCCACTGCTAAAGACCCCTACGCGCAAGTAAATTATTGAAATGAAATTGAACCATGTGTTAGTCCCGAAATTACCTAGTTTGTGTCGAGCGGACGTTAAACCCCATTTCTCCCTCTCTCTCCTTTCAAGATGAAGATTTCCAAGCCAGTTTACGTGACGCATGCGTATTCCTTGTTTGAATTATGCACAGTGTCCATTGTCGGCTTTTGCGGGATCTATATTTTTTAAAATGCTGTTTTTATTTTACAGTTTACATGGCGATATAATGACGTCGATGGAAGAAGGAGTATTTTCAGGAAGGGCTTACCACACCCGACTTGTACCACATCCACACAGGTTTACAGTTCCAATATCACTGGAACTTAAGCGATGGAACGGAGATGATATCCCGACAGCAGCATTCGACAAAGAGCCAGATGAAATATGGAGAATGTCGACCTTGAAATACCTTGGATACGATTACAGTCCGACTCTGTACTACTTTTTATTTTCAAAGGAATCGAAGTCTTTCACGCATGTCTATATTAATACGCCTAGCCTGGACGGCGCATTACAGTGTTACGATTTTCCTTTAGTCCAAAATAAAGGGAAGACAGAACACATTGAGAAAACGGGTGACATTTCACCCCTAGGCGTAAAGATAACCGACGGATCCCATTCCTATAAGTTTGTGTTTGAATCCGATTTCTTGGACTACTTTTTCGTTCGCATTGACACGTTTGTGAACAAAAGGGCGCATATGAAGTGTGTAATGAAAGTTCAAAGACAAGTCGCCCCAAGTTTGAGAAACTATTTAAACGGGTCGAGCTGGTTATTTAAGTTGAGGACATTATTTATTGCGTTTATCTTATATTTTAGGGGCTTGTTGATAGATAGGGGCTGGATTAATGAAGGCATGCCAATGAAAAAGTTGTTACAGGAAATAAAAAAATCATCATAAAAGACACGGTCGGTTTTAATTTTTGCCCCCCCCCCCCCCACACACACACAAAGAAAAACTAATAAAAACAACAATTAACGCAATAAAAACAACAAAAAAGACAACAACTATAGCAATTAAAAAAATAATAAAACAACAACAGCAACTAATCAAAACAACACAGACGAATGAAATAGTGTTTTCTGGGTCAAACCGGTAAATGAAGACGGAAATAAACCATGTAATGTGGCTACGAGGAGTATCTTTGCCATTCTCCCCTGTCATGTCATCCGAATAGTTAAACATTTCCTCCTTGCCAAACCCCACATCGTGCGCTACTGACAAGGGAGAAAAAAACCCATCCTGTGCTATTGACAGTGGAAAACCCCCATCGTGCGCTACTGACAAGGGAAAAACCCCTATACTGCGCTACTGAAACACCGATCCTGCGCTACTGACAAGGGAAAACAAGGCTGCTAACTAAAATCTGGATCGACCCCATAACGTTCTAGTTACGTAGTTCGCGCCCTATTGACCGATCTACTGTAGGGAGGGAGGGAGAGAGAGAGAGAGAGAGAGAGAGAGAGAGAGAGAGAGAGAGAAATGGGGTTTAACGTCCACTCGACACAAACTAGGTCATTTCCGGACTAACGCATGGTTCAATTTTATTTCAAAAACTCGCTTGCGCGTAGGGTCTTTAGCTGTGGGAGGAAACTGGGGGACCCGGAGGAAACCCACGAGGTTGGAAAAGCTTGACGGGGGGACGTTAGACGATGTATGACGACACCGAGGGAAATCAAACTGACATATGGGTTATCATGCTAGGTATAAGTCTTTATTCCCGTGGACAACGGTACTACCCACTAATTTAATTCGGGTTGGAGTATCTTTTCATCCGTGTTAGGTGTAGCTCAAGTGGGACTGGCTATGATGTTTAAAAAATCAGTGTATTCTACCTGCTGTTACAGATTCTCTAAATTTCCTGGAGAACATCAGTTTGACATCGTGTGATGACCATAGAGTGACAGAGAAATGGGGTTTAACGTCCACTCGACACAAACTAGGTCATTTCGGGACTAACACACGGTTAAATTTTATTTCAATAATTCGCTTGCACGTAGGGGTCTTTAGCAGTGGGAGGAAACCGGAGGACCCGGAGAAAACCCACGAGGTTGGACAGGCGACCCTACTCCTTGTCGCGTACAACCGGGGAATCGAAACCCCGCTAGTTAACTCAACGACAGACCTTATAATACAGTGCGCATGCGCTAACCATTTGTGGTGATGGGCTCCATGATCACCACAAATAACCACTATAAGCTCGCGATAAAGAATTTTTCTGAGATTTTATACACGTCATTAACAGACAAAAGCAACGAAATACCATTTGAGAATTCTTAATTAATTTTTTAATTAAATATTTTAAATTTGGCATCTACAAAACTGCCCAAAGTACGTGCCTATTTTTGGTAATGGTTAATCCAGCACTACCTAATTATCCTTACCCTATTGACTAGAAAGCTAGGTTTTAAACTTTTTGACTGTCCCAGAAGATATCAACACTGGGCGTAACTAGCCTCAAGTTCCTGTTGTGGTTGTTATATGATTTGAAAAGCGTCATTATCTTTTTATGACAAGAATCCTAAATACAAGATCCAGAACGCTCTATTTATAATTGTATCAACCAAAGACAATACTAACATACCGGTGATAACAAAACAAGGGAGACAACTACATATCTATTCTTTTTAAAAACCTTGTGCGAATACAATGGATTTGTGGGGAACTGGCTCATAATTGTCTAGCGAGCATGTTATACATTGTCAGCTACTTAACGTTGGGTATAATGCTGTAAATAGAACGGAGGTGCGGCAGTGGCAACATTGATAATTTTACAAGAAACTAAAAGTATTACATTATCGGAAACAAGGGGTCTTGTGGACCACTCCCTCCCCACCCGCTTTAAACATTTTACTGGTTATAAGAGCCTAATCTGTTTTGCGCTCAGTGCAAAGTTTTATATTTGGAAACATTCTTACTGATGATATTGTGTTGATCATTCTAGTAATCTAGATCTGAAAACAACCCCGTCAAAAGACAATTCTACATTGGAAATGACAATTAAGCCATTTGCAGATTTTGATGGTTTTTAAGAATACTTTATAATTCATATCTTCACTGTTAATACCTCAAATATATATATATTTTTTTTGGAGCCACGGTGGCTAGGTGGGTAAGACGCTGGCTCGCTAGCCTGGGGGTCGCGTGTTCGATCTCTGCATTGGCCGAGAAAGTTCATGGGGATTTTCCGACGTGGTTTCACCTTGTCCGTGGTGCAGAACGGGGGGCCTGACAAGGACATTCTAGACCACATACCCTCACACCAGGGATAGAAACCACGATCATAAGCTCGAAGCGCGACATTCTAGACCACTAGGTAATCTCAATTTACATTGGATGCCGAGAGATACTAGTTTAGATTTGATAATTATGGCGACTTATTAACTCCTAGCTTTTGCATTTGACAGGGCTCTGTTTGGGTGATTTTGGCTTTGGCTAGATTGAACTCTGCTACTAGACATGCTTATAGTGCTGCCACTTCGTCTTGAAATGTGAGATCATTCAAATTAATATGTTTATAATAACTTTTGAGGTTTCCTCTGGCATTTTGGTGAAAGTTTCTGAATTGATACGATTGTCAGGTGTTCGTAACTTGATGGGCTTTTAGCTAAAGGTTTCTCACACAGTCTTTTATAAGTGATTGTTTTTGTTTTAAAAAAGCTGGCTGAGATTCGTACCTTGATTGTAGTCCGAGTACGCCTTATTGTCTCTTTGAAGACCACACTATTTTTATTCTTGAATAGCCCTAAGGAATGAAGATGCAACATATTGCCAGTCCCTGAACAGTCTGCTACCAGACCAAGTAAAATAAATTGAAAGTAGTCTATTTTTAGTAATTAAGTTATTATTTGATAGCGACATTTTTCTTTGGACAAACGAAAGAGGGCTTTATTTTTTTCTAAATCATGTAATTATGAATGTGCCAGTAAAATAGCTAATACTCGTATATTCAAAGAGCGATAGACAAATACTTCCCGGTGAAGCATTTTACGATAACTGGAATTTCGTATTAAGACGCGTATTTTGACTTTTAAATACCACCTCCCCTCATTAAATAGAGTTCAGACGATCGAAATTTCATCTGCTTTAACAAGGTACGTAAATATGAATATGTCAGAAAACATTTTGAAAATGTATTCGGACCTTTTTAATGGTGATGTCTTGTATTTTGTGTAATGGTCCTTATTTTGACGTTAAATACTCCCACCCCTCCTCATTTAACACATGTTAGTGCCATTTGAATTTTGTTCTTTTTTCAAGGTATGTAATTGTAAATGTGCAAGAAAATAATTTACATTTTGTAGCAAACTATAAACATACTTTCCCGCTGTATATGAACAGATATCGAGAATTTTTATACTTTTAATATCCCGCCCCTTCCATCACTTAATAAAGTTTAGTATACCGTGGAACTTTGATCGCTTTTTACGGTATATAAATTTGTAACATGGATAGGAAATCTTCCTTTGTTCTTTTCGTTGAATAAGCAGATTGTTTTCCCTCTAGTAGATTGGGTGGGTGGAGCTTAACCGTGCAATAACTAGACATGTTCAATGTTATTGCACACTTTTGCTGGTTTACACTAGTTTTAGTAGAAATCATATAGAGAAGTGGGGTGGGTTTTCAGTGCAATAACAATAAGCATGTTGAGCAGTTGTCAATGTTACATTTCATTTTTAGCACGCTTCATTCGTTAACAGGTTTAACCCCTCGTCCTTCGGCCTCTGGTTAAACTTGTTAACTCATGAAAGCCGTTCTATAAATATAACATAAATGTGCCAGAAAATAATTTGAAAAGTTGTACGATATTAAACTCTATTAATTGATTGGGAGGGGATGGGTGGGGTCTTAAATGTCAAAATACGTGTTATATTACGAGATTCCAGATATCACACAGAATACCACTGAAAAGAAGTTTCCTTTACCTTTCCAGAAATGTAAATTATATTCTAGCACATTTATTTTACATAGCTTGAAAAATGTATTACAGTTGGATGACGCTAAATACTATTAAGTAAGTGAGGTCGGGGTGGGGTTGGGGGGTTAAAGGTAAAATACGGGTTATCGTGTAATGCATGAGCGGAAAGTATATATTTATTTATTTATCCCTCTTTCAATATTTTACTTATTCCCTGGCACAATCATGATTGTGAAATTGTACGATAAACGTGATGACTTTGACTTTCCGATTGTTAACTTTCCATTTATTAGTAGTAACATTCCAATATCACCAGCTTATGGAGTGTTTGTGTCTCAGCTAATTCGTTACGCGAGAGCTTGTTCCTTTTATTCTGATTTTTTAAGTAGATCGAGGCATTTGTCATCTAAGCTTCAACTACAAGGATATTTGCGCACTAAACTTATTAAAACCTTTAAAAAGTTTTTTGGCCGTCATATTGATTTGATTGGTAAATATAACGTGTCTCTCTCGGCTATTATTCTAGATATATTTAATTGACACGTATACTATTACTATCTCCCTGATAGTGTCTACTACATCGTTAACACAGTTCATCGCGTGCATTTTGCATACCAATAGTTCATTTGCCAATCACGCTATTTTACCAACATTTCGCCTAATAGTTTGGATGCAGCTATGGCGGGTGTGGCCCCAGCCGGAGTAAGCTTACTCTTCCGGACACCTGTTACCACTGTTTGTCGTGTATTTTGTACACGAGGAGCAGTCCATTTGCTGATTACACTATTTTGCTTGAATACACTATTTTGCCTATAACGTTTTTTAGGACTTCGAATTCTGTCTTATGGTTTGGATTGTTCGTACTTGGTTTTATTTCATTAGAAGAGATTAAACACTCTATCGTTTGAGAAAAGAATATGTCGCTATCAGACAAAACCTAATTTCTAAAAATAGACTAGTTTCCATTTACTTTCTTTCCCGAAGGCCC